AAGCAGCGCCTCCCCTAGTATTGTCTTTTTGAGGAGAAAATCCATTCACTGATTGTTGTTTTGTCGATCATGTATTGGGAAGGTACTGTGCTTGAGGTGCCGTTTGAATAGCATGATGTGTCCGTATGTACTAAGATCATTTATTTCGATTTTTCTTCTTTCCACATCTTCTTTCGATTTTTCTTTCCCGTCTGTTCCTTTCCTGGCAGCGGCAATTCCCAAACCCTCTGTGCCCACTGCATGGATCGAGAGGGCGAAATCTACCAGCGAATCACAGCAACCGGTGAGGAGAAAGTGTTTGAATCGACTGAACATCATCACTTCAACCGCAACATACAGCTTTGATTCGGCTTTAAAGCCAAGCCACAAGTCGTATAAGCTAGCCAGAAGCATCTCCAGTCAATGCAATGCAGTCACATTCGTGACGTGTGCCTTGGAACAGAGCTGCATGCTGTGTTGGTTATGCGTGCCAGTCGCCCCCATCTTTCAGAAGTGTGCAAGCCCTATCTATGCAATCGTGTATGTGCTTTATGTGTGCAGTGCAGGAGTGTGAGGAGCAGTTCGTGAGGCTGTGGGTGGAGTGCGTTTGAGAGCTCTTATATGCATGCTCATACTGCTCTCAGTGCTGTCTGTTTGGTCTCTGTGCTCTGTCTGCTGTCTCTCTGCTCTCTGTCTGTGCTCTCTGTCTGTGCTCTCTCTCTCTGCCTCATACTGTGCAGTGCGCGAGTGTGAGGAGCAGTTCGGAAGGCTGTGGGTGGAGTGCCAGCGGTGTCAGGGCAGCTTGCATCAAGATGTGCTCTGTACCAGGTAGGATGTGGTGGGGGGTGGTAGGGGGTGGTAGAGGGTGGTAGGGGGTGGTTGGGTGGTTTTGCTAGCATACCTTGTTTTCTTCTCCCTGTTGGCTGGTTGGCCTCATTCCACACTCGTCTGTTTCTCTTTGTTCCTGCAGTCGGGACTGCCCCGTATTCTGTTGCCTTAACTCCTCCCAACACTGTTGTCCCTGCAGTCGTGACTGTCCCATATTCTGTTGTCTTCACTCCTCCTTGTTCTGCTATCTTCACTCCTCCCTGCAGCCGTGATTGCCCCATATTCTATCGGAGGAAGAAGGCCCAGAAGGATGTTGAAGAGTCGCATGCTCAGCTGGCCAGATTTGACTTCTGACTGTTCCTATATAAGCTGTCTCGATATGCTGACAGCAATATGCCTGCTTGTACAGGGCTGCTTGTACAGGTGTATGAAAGTGGCAAAGTGGAGTTTGATTTTTACGAAGCGCGGTGTCCACTTGGCTGTTGGGTTTTCTGTAACGAAGTGACAACTGGCTGTTGCCCTTGCAACCGAGGGTACAACCAGTTTGCCATCGTGCGGTGCGGATACCAAAAGTGTATCTTGCGGAACTGGTACCGCGTAGCGGCATGCTCATTGCTAATCAATCTTCCAGCAACCACTGGGCTCAAGCAGCATACCACGTGTGAAATAGTGAATGTTTGAACTAACTCCACCAGCAGCAAAGCGCTGCAGAAGTAACAGAGTGCCTGTCTTTCCCTGAAATGTAACAATTGTGGGCATGGTGAAGGACCAGCAGCAGCAAAGCTGGTGACAGAAGTGTAGTTGTGAGACGTCTGAAAGCGGCACTTGTATCACATGCCTTGCCCCCGAATGTAACAGTTGTGTCCATGTTGATGGGCCAGCAGCAGCAAAGCTGTGCATCCGTGTGATACAAGTGCAGCTTTGCGACGTCTCACAACTCAACTGTTGAAGGGCCAGCAGCAACACAGTCCCCCCCAATCCGGATTCTGTCCCTCCAAATCTGTTTGAATTAGTGCCACATGTCCTGCACAACACTAGCACACTCCAAGCCGACTTAGAGTCGACTCAAAATTCAGTTCGTTACAATGTCACAGTCGTGCCACATGTCAGATTGTTGCCCTGCACAACACTGGCGCATTTCATGTCACAAGGGGGGCAAGCTGATTACTCAAGCTGGTATTCAAGAATTCTGGTTTTCAAGAATTCTGGTTTTTGAGAACACTAGCGCATTCTATGCCCAGAGGGAGGCAGCACTAAAGCATGTCTTTCTGGATCATGCCAATCTGGATCATGCCAATCTGGATCATGCCTATCTGGATCATGCCTATCTGGATCATGCCTATCTGGATCATGCCTATCTGAATCATGCCTATCTGGATCACAATTTACTGGATGACGCTTAACTGGAACATGCAAATCTGGATCCTACATTCCAATACATGCCCCAGTGGAGGAGATGTGGGCTCTAGGGAGGTTGGGGGCCCTTGCCATGCACGTGCTCCTATCGGACCTAGAGCCCATAATCCATAATCCAAGGGTGAGATTCAATCCAACTAATAAGAGGATGTGGGTGGGCTGAAGAGTGGGATAAAGCCATGCGCCGGCACATATCTTCTTAAGAGCCACAGCTTTCCAGGTCGCAATTTGAATAACTTGGGGGATGTGGGCTCTGCTACTGGTCCATGGGGCCAATGGCATGGCCATGGAAAGAGAAGCTCAAACACGGGCTGAGTTAATCGGCCATGGGTTAAGTTACTCAGCCATGGGGTGAGTAGCTCGGCCATGTTGTGAGAAGCTCGGCCATGGAGTCATTAGCTTGGCCATGGGGTGAAATACTCGGTCATGGGTTCAGAAATTCGGCCATGGGATCTGTAGCTGAGCCATGGGGTGAGTTACACGGCCATGGGGTCAGTAGCTCGGCCATGGGGTGAGTTACACGGCCATGGGGTCAGTAGCTCGGCCATGGGGTGAGTTACACGGCCATGGGGTCAGTAGCTCGGCCATGGGGTGAGTTACACGGCCATGGGGTCAGTAGTTCGGCCATGGGGTGAGTTACTCGGCCATGGAGTGGGTTACTCGGCGATGGGGTGAGTAACTGGGCCATGCGGTCAGTAGCTCGGCCATGGGCTCTGGCGGTCAGAGTCGGGGCCCTGGCGGTCAGAGTCAGGGCAGCCTCCCCTCGGGCGGCATCCCCTCAGACGGCATCTCCACGGGCGGCATCTCCTCGGGCGGCATCCGCTTGGGCGGCATCCCCTCGGGCGGCATCCCCTCGGGCGGCATGCCCTCGGGCGGCATCTTCCCAGGAGGCATCGCCTCGGCGTCGTCCCCTCGGGCGGCCTCCCCTCAGGCGACATCCCCTCGGGCATCCCCCCGGGCGGCATCCCCTCGGGCAGCATCCCCCGGGCGGCATCCCCTCGGGCGGCATCCCCTCGGGCAGCATCCCCTCGGGCGGCATGCCTGAGGGCGGCATGCCCGAGGGCGGCATCCCCTCGGGCGGCATGCCCTCGGGTGTCATCCCCTCGGGTGGCATGCCCTCGGGCGGCATGCCCTCGGGCGGCATGCCCTCGGGCGGCATGCCCTCGGGCGGCATGCCCTTGGGCGGCATCCCCTCAGGCGGCATGCCCCCAGGCGGCATCTTCCGAACGGCATGCCCTCGTGCGGCATCCCCTCGGGCAGCATCCCCTCGGGCGGCATCCCCTCGGGCGGCATCCCCTCAGGCGGCATGCCCCTGGGGGCCATCCCCTCGGGCGCCATCCCCTCGGGAGGCATCTCCTCGGGCGGCATTCCCCCGGGCGGCATCCCCTCGGGCAGCATCCCCTCGGGCAGAATCGCCTCTGGTGGCATCCCCTCAGGCGGCCTCCCCACTGGCGGCATGCCCTCAGACGACATCCCCTCGGGCGGCATGCTGTCGGGCGACATCCCCTCGGGCAGCATGCCGACGGGCGGCATCCCCTCGGGCGGCATCCCCTCTGGCGGCATCGGTCAGTGTCAGAGCTCTGGCGGTCGGTCAGAGTCAGAGCTCTGGGGGTCAGATTCAGAGTTCTGGCGGTCAGAGTCAGAGGTCTAGCGGTCAGAGTCAGAGCTCTGGCGGTCAGAGTCAGAGCTCTGGCGGTCAAAGTCAGAGCTCTGGGGGTCAGAGTCAGAGCTCTGGCGATCAGAGTCAGAGCTCTGGCGGTCAGAATCAGAGCTCTGGCGGTCAGATTCGGCGCTCTGGCCGTCAGATTCGGCGCTCTGGCGGTCAGAATCTGGGCTCTGACGGTCAGAATCTGGGTCTGGCCGTCAAAGTCAGGGCTCTGGCGGTCAGAGTCAGGGCTCTGGCGGTCAGAGTCAAAGCTCTGGCGGTCAGAGTCAGAGCTCTGGCGGTCAGAGTCAGAGCTCTGGCAGTCACAATCAGAGCTCTGGTGGAGCTCTGGCGGAAAGAATCAGAGCTCTGGCGGAAAGAATCAGAGCTCTGGCGGTCAGAGTCAGAGCTCTGGCGATTAGAGTCAGAGCTCTGGCGATTAGAGTCAGAGCTCTGGCGGTCAGAGTCAAAGCTCTGGCGGTCGGAGTCAGAGCTCTGGCAGTCTGATTCAGAGCTCTGGCGGTCGGAGTCAGAACTCTGGCAGTCTGATTCAGAGCTCTGGCGGTCGGAGTCAGAACTCTGGCAGTCTGAGTCAGAGCTCTGGCGGTCGGAGTCAGAACTCTGGCGGTCATATCAGTGTCTGAGTCAGAGTCTGGGCTCTGGCGATCAGAGTCAGAGTCTAAGTTCTGGCGGTCAGAGTCAGAGCTCTGGCGGTCAGAGTCAGAGCTCTGGCGGTCGGAGTCAGAGCTCTGGCGGTCGGAGTCAGAGCTCTGGCGGTCAGAGCCAGGGCTCTGGCGGTCAGATTCAGTGCTCTGGCGGGTCAGAGTCAGGGCTCTGACGGTCAGATTCAGAGCTCTGACGGTCCGATTCAGAGCTCTGGCGGTCAGAGGCAGAGCTCTGGCGGTCAGAATCAGGGCTCTGGCGGTCAGAGTCAGAGCTCTGGTGGTCAGAATCAAAGCTCTGGCTGTCAGAATCAGAGCTCTGAAAATTACATTCAGAGCTCTGGCGGTCAGATTCAGAGCTCTGACGGTCAGAGTCAGAGCTCTGGCAGTCAGCGTCAGAGCTCTGGCGGTCAGAGTCCGAGCTCTGGCGGTCAGAGTCAGAGCTCTGGCGGTCAGAATCAGAGCTCTGGAGGTCAGAGTCACAGCTCTGGCGGTCCGAGTCAGGGCTCTGATGGTCAGGGTCTAAGCTCTGGCGGTCAGAGTCAGGGCTCTGATGGTCAGAGTCTAAGCTCTGGCGGTCAGAGTCAGAGCTCTGGCAATCAGAATCACAGCTCTGGCGGTCAGAGTCAGAGCTCTGGCAGTCAGAGTCAGAGCTTTGGCGGTCAGAGTCAGGGCACTGGCACTCAGAGTCAGAGCTCTGGCGGTCAGGGTCTAAGTTCTGGTGGTCAGATTCAGAGCTCTGACGGTCAGAGTTCACGGCTCTGACGGTCAGCGACTAAGCTCTGCTGGTCAGAGTCTAACATCTGGCGGTCAGAGTCAGAGCTCTGGCGGTCAAAGTCAGAGCTTTGGCGGTCAGATTCAGCGCTCTGGCGGTCAGAGGCAGAGCTCTGCCGGTCAGAGGCCGAGCTTTGGCGGTCAGAGTCAGGGCTCTGACGGTCAGAGTCAGAGCTCTGTCGGTAAGAGTCAGTGCTCTGTCGGTCAGAGCCAGGGCTCTGACGGTCAGAGTCAGGGCTCTGGCGGTCAGAGTCAGAGCTCTGGTGGTCAGAATCAGAACTCTGGCTCTGGCAGTCAGAGTCAGTGCCCTGGCGATCAGAATCAGAGCTCTGGCGATCAGAGGCCGAGCTTTGGCGGTCAGAGGCAGAGCTCTGGCGATCAGAGTCAGGGCTCTGGCGGTCAGAGGCAGAGCTCTGGCGGCCACATTCAGAGCTCTGTCGGTCAGAGTCAGGGCTCTGGCGGTCAATGTCAGTGCTCTGGCGGTCAGATTCAGGGCTATGACGGTCAGAGTCTAAGCTCTGGCAGTCAGAGTCAGAGCTCTGGCGGTCAGATTTAGAGCTCTGGCGGTCTCAGAGCTCTGGCGGTCAGAGTCAGAGCTCTGGCGGTCTGAGTCGGAGCTCTGGCGGTCAGGCTCGGAGCTCTGGCGGTCTCTGGCGGTCAGAGGCAGAGCTTTGGCGGTCCGAGTCAGAGGTCAGAGTCAGACTTCTTGCTTTCAGAGTCAGAGCTCTGGCCGTCAGAGTCAGAGTTGCGGCTGTCAGAGCTCTGGCGGTCAGAGTCAGGGCTCTGGCGGTCAGACTCAGGGATCTGGCGGTCAGATTCAGAGCTCTGGCGGTCAGAGTGAGAGCTCTCGCGGTCAGGGTCAGGGCTCTCGTGGTCAAAGGCAGAGATCTGACGGTCAGAGTCAGTGCTTTGGCGGTCAGAGTCGGAGGCGGTCAGAGACAGTGCTCTGATGGTCAGATTCTAAGCTCTGGCGGTCAGAGTCAGAGCTCTGGCGGTCAGAGTCAGGGCTCTGACGGTCAGATTCAGAGCTGTGGCGGTTAGATTCAGAGCTCTGGCGGTCAGAGTCAGGGCTCTGGCGTCAGAGGCAGAGCTTGAGAGAAGCGAGGCGTGAGAAGTGGACAGACAGTGGGGTACCAGAAGCCCGAGGCAAGGGGGGGAACAGAGGCACGGTCAAGGCCCTCTACCCAGTGCAGGGGGGTAGGCAGAGCAGACTATGCCCACTCACCTTCTCTTCTGCTCGTCTGCTCGCCCCTTGCCCCTCGCCCCTCGCCCCTCGCCCCTCGCCCCTCGCCTCTCCATCCGCGACTCCACTCCTGCAGCTGCCGCTTGCCTCTCCCTGCTTCTGCCACACTCACAAACGCACCAAAGAACAAAAGAAAACGCAGCAAAAAAACAACAAAAGGTGCAACACAAGAGCGGTGTACCATCGTTAGAGGGCGCACGCTGCTCCTCGTGCCTCCTCGTGAAGTGAGGGGCGTCGCAGTGAAGGCAGAGCAAGCAACGCACCTGCGCTTACCCATGCAGGTGCATATGCGCACACCTGGTGTAACATGGACTCACCTGCAGCAGTTGATTCAAGAGGCGGTCACCTCTTGACTCCTTATAAGGGCGCAGCAGTGAAGGAACAGCAAGCAACGCACCTGCACTTAACCATGCAGGTGCACTTGGTAAAAACGCACCTGCTCACACCTCTTGGAAACATTGGACTCACCTGTACTCGCCTGTCCCGTTACCGCTTGTGCCTCACTCTCAAGCTCTCCTCACACTCCTCACACTCCCTCACACTCCCTCACACTCGAGCCACTCGCCCCTCCCCTCGGACCACTGCCCACAGTCTGTCCGTATGTGTACCAGTTAGTCTGTCAGTCTGTTGGTCTGCCTGTCAGTTTGTCTGTCAGTCTGTCCATCAGTCTGTCAGTCAGTCTGTCAGTCAGTCTGACTGTCTGTCTGTCAGTCAGTCTGACTGTCTGTTAGTGAAGTGTGGTGGAGTGGAGGATGGCTGAAGGGTCGCGGCGGAAGTGGTGGGTGGAATGGGCTGGATGGGTGGTGGAGTATGGTGGAGTGTGGTGGAGTGTGGTGGAGTGGAGAGAAGGATGGCGGAGTGGCAGGCGGAAGTGGTGGAATGCTCCCTCTGCTGCTGCCGCTGGTGGGGGTTGAGGGATGCTCCCTCTGCTACTGCCGCTGGTGGGGTTAGGAGATGCTCCCGCTGCTGTTGCTGCCGGTGGGATTGGGGATGATTCCATCTGCTGCTGATGCTGCTGCTGCGAATCCTTTCCCCCTCTTGCGCTCTGAAGTGGTGCCAAACCCTCCCCCCTGCTGCTTCAGCTCCTGCTGCTGCTGTTGCTGCTGCTGCTGCAACTGCTGCTATTCACAGCCAACGACGACAGACTCCCCCCCAGGGGTGCGGGGAAAGCAAGCCCCCCTGCTGCCACCGAGAGCTGCAGCGAGGGCAGTGGTAAAGCTGAAGGTGCCGCTCCCATGCTTGCAGTGCAGCTGGACCTCCCCTGCACTGCAGTGCAGCTGGATCTTTCCTGCCGTGCAGCTGGATCTCCCCTGGTCGACCCGAGAGCTCCAGGGAGAGCAGTGGTCAGCAGGGCACTCCCCCTGCCATGCCAGCTGCTTGCACTCTGCAGAAGCGCCAACAAAAATTCCCCCCTGCTGCCGCTGCAACTGCAGCTATCCACAGCCCAGGGGAGGGGCTGCTGCAGGTGCGAGGAAAGGGAGCGCCAGGCCCCCCTGATGCCACCGAGAGCTGCAGCGAGGGCAGTGGTCAGCAGGGCACTCCCCCTGCCGTGAGTCATCCCACCGCCCTCCTCTCAAGCTGAAGGCGCCGCTCCTATGCTTGCAGTGCAGATGGACCTCCCGTGGTCGAACTGCGGGCTGCAGCGAGGGCAGTGGTCAGCAGGGCACTCCACCTGCCGTGCGTCATCCCACCGCCCTCCTCCCCCTCCCTGCCGCCGATGCTGCTTGCCCTCCTCTGGGCATCTGGAAGGGGGGGAAGGGGGGGGGTAACGGAGAGAAGAGAGGTGAGCGAGAGTGTCATCAAGGAAAAAACCATCAGGCAGGCGAAAAGGGTCAGCGTGGGGTAGAATAAGGTGGGGTAGGGCTGTTCGGGGTGTGGGTTTTAGGGTGGCGGTTAGGGTGGGGTGGGGTAGGGTAGGGTAGGGTAAGGCTGAGCCGGAAGGGGAGGGCGACTCACGAGATTGGCAGGGAGTCACACAGGAGGGCGTCACACAGGAGTATGCTCCCAGCAGCGCGCCAAGCCCCCTCCCCAAGGCTCCCTTACACTTAAGTACGGGAGGAAAGGTTTAGGTGGCCTGCTGGGATGGGAAGGGGAAGGCGGGGAGGTCAAGGGGAGGGGGTGGACAAGTGAACGGAGCAGCGAGGGGTGAGTAAGCGAGTGATAGAGAGGAAAGGCGACAAGCAACGGAGGTTGAAGGCGTGAATGAGAAAAAGCGACGAGCAATGAAGGATGAACAGAAGAAGAACAAAATGCACAGAAGAAGCGGCAAACTGTGGCTGGACAGAAAGCGCTAAAGCGTTGAAGGGTTGGAGTTGTGGGAGTTTCAGAGTGTCGGAGTGTTGAGCGTTGAAGTGTTGCAGGTGGGCAGCCAGGCAGTCGGAGTGTCGGTTTGCCAAGTCAAACAGCCGCTGGGCGATAGGGTGGGTGAGCCGCTGCGAGGAGGGGTGTGGTGATGGCAGCTGCCAGGGTCGGCACCAAGTTTCCATACCATACCAGCAGTTACCCACTCACCCACTTACCCGCTTACCCACGCACCTACTTACCCGTTGGCAGTTAGCAGTTACCAGCTGTCACCTGGGGAGGGGTCCCTTGGGCGACCCTGACAGCCGGAGGAGGAGGAATGAGAGGTGAGAGGAGGAGGGAGTGTGGAGGATGGTGGATGGTGCTGCTCCTCCCCTTTTGCATGCTTCTCCTCCCCTTGTGCGCAATCCGCCTGCCCTTGTGCGCTGCAGCTGCTCCCACTGCCTTCACAAACAGCTGCAGACGGAGTTGAGGCAGCAGCAGCGCCGGCAGAGAGGGCCGGGAGGTGTTGTTGGCGGTGGCGGTGGCGGTGGCGGTGACGGAAAGCTGAAAGTAAGAGTGAGAATGAGAATCGAGGCAGAAAAACAAGTGTTTCAGATCCGAAAGCTTGTGGGAGCGGGAAGGCGCATGGCGACGGTGGCCCACGGCACCACAGCAGCAAGCTTAGCAAGCGAGGGGTGGGCTGGGGTAGAGAGGGACGCGCGCATGGCATGCATGCAAGTCTCCCTCTAAACTCTATATGAACTCTTCTGCCGCCGTGCCAGGACCACCACCGTTATCCGCCAAGCAACTTCAGATCCGATTTGAAAGGAAATTGCAGCAGTAAAAGAGAGTGATGACGACAGCGAAGGGGGGTTGGGGGAGGGGGGAGCGCGAGGGGCAAGGGGCAGGTTCGGAGGAGGGAACTTAGCCATGGGAGGATAGGCAACGCGGGAGCAGCAGTCAGCCCCGTTACACCTCCTCGCAGCAGCTGGGGACGGATGCGGGTGGCGAATCGGAGCAGGCGAGAGCACTCCGCGCCTCCCACTGACAGACGCCCTGCCGCATGCAGGTTCACTCCACCCGTCCTCACCCGGCGCGTGACCATAGGGCCTTGCCGTGCGCGTGGAGGAGTGTAGTGGTCAGCAGGGCATGCCCATAGGGCCTTGCCGTGCGTCATCCCACTGCACTCCACCCCAGCCTCAGCACCACAGCAGCAGCACCAGCCGTAGCAGCAGCTGCAGCCGAAGGCAGATGACGGCAGCTGGAAGCCTTCACAGACATCTGAGGGCAGCTGTAGCAGCGGTTGTGGCAGCAGCAGTGCAGGCAGAGAGGGCAGCTCGGTGTTCCCAGAGCAACCTGCAGCACACCACACGACACACGACACAGGGTGAGGCTCAGCACGAGAAGCAGCAAGAGGAGCAGCAGGAAGGGGACTGATGCGCGCCTACCAACAAAGAGAGCAAGATCCGAGGCAGAACGAGGCGGCTAGATGCTTACCACCGTGCTAGCGATCACGCACCCATGGGTCGTGGTGCTGACTTTTGTCGCTGCTGCCTCCAAGTGTTGCTGCAGACGTCAGTGCTGCTCTGATGCTTGCTGCTACTGCCACCACTCCACGCCACTCGCCTGTGTGCTGCTCTGATGCCCGCTCTGCTGCCCCCACTCCAGTCGCCCTGGGAGGAGGGGAAGGGATGGGAAGAGAAGGCACAGGCGGACAGGGGAAAGGGGAAGTAAACGCAGGGAGTTAGCCCAGGACGAATAGATAGGCTGTAGAACACAAGTGCATGGCGAGTGAGGGCAGGATATCAAAACAGGATATGCGGGAGTGAGAATTTCAAAAACGAATGCGTGGGAGGGGGAAGGCGCACGGCGATGGTGGCCCACGGCACCACAGCAGCAAGCTTAGCAAGCGAGGGGTGGACTGGGGTAGAGAGGGACGCACGCATGGTATGAATGCAAGTCTACTCCCTCTAGGACCCTATATGAGCGCCACTGCTGCAGTGCCACGAGCCACCACCTCCATCTGCCAAGCAACATGGGATAACTTGAACCTCCATCCACCACGAGCAACATGGGATAACTTGAACCTCCATCCACCACGAGCAACATGGGATAACTTGAACCTCCATCCACCACGAGCAACATGGGATAACTTGAACCTCCATCCACCACGAGCAACATGGGATAACTTGAACCTCCATCCACCACGAGCAACATGGGATAACTTGAACCTCCATCCACCACGAGCAACATGGGATAACTTGAACCTCCATCCACCACGAGCAACATGGGATAACTTGAACCTCCATCCACCACGAGCAACATGGGATAACTTGAACCTCCATCCACCACGAGCAACATGGGATAACTTGAACCTCCATCCACCACGAGCAACATGGGATAACTTGAACCTCCATCCACCACGAGCAACATGGGATAACTTGAACCTCCATCCACCACGAGCAACATGGGATAACTTGAACCTCCATCCACCACGAGCAACATGGGATAACTTGAACCTCCATCCACCACGAGCAACATGGGATAACTTGAACCTCCATCCACCACGAGCAACATGGGATAACTTGAACCTCCATCCACCACGAGCAACATGGGATAACTTGAACCTCCATCCACCACGAGCAACATGGGATAACTTGAACGAGAGTGATGACGACAGCGAAGGAGGGGTGGGTAGGGGGAGGAGGGGAAGGGGTAGTGCGTGGGAAAAGTGCACGAGGGAAGAGGGAAGAGGGAACTTAGCCATGGAAAAGGCGGCTGAACAGCGTGCACTCCCGCAACTTGCTGCTCGTCACTCGCCGGTCCGCCCATCACCGTCCGCCCTCCACCGTTATCCGCGCGCCGTTATCCGCGCGCCGCTATTCGCGCGCCGCTATCCGCGCGCCGCTATCTGCACGCCGTTATCCGCACGCCGTTATCCGCGCGCCGTTATCCGCACGCCGCTATCCGCGCGCCGCTATCCGCGCGCCGCTATCCGCGCGCCGCTATCCGCGCGCCGCTATCCGCGCGCCGTTATCCGCGCGCCGCTATCCGCGCGCCGTTATCCGCGCGCTGTTATCCGCACGCCGCTCTCCCCAGCTCGTTGCTCGCACTCGCCGTTTGAAAAATCGCACGTCGACGGGATTTGCTCGCGGATCGCCGATCGTCGTTCGCCGCTCATCGCTCGTCGTTTCCCCTCCGCCTCGCCGCGCGTCCGTCTCTCGCGTCTCGCCGCTCGCCTTCCGCCGATCGTTCATCGCACTTCGACGATCTTCGCTCGCGGCTGGCCGTATCGACGATCACCGTTCGCCGTCAAAGCTGGCCGGTCGTGGCTCTTGGCTCGTCGCTGCGCGCTGGCTCGTCGCCCGACAGCTACCGGCAACTAACTGCACGCCGTTAGCCGAATGCCGTTAGCAGCAAGCCGTTAGCCGCAAAGCCGTTAGTCGCATGCCGTTAGCCGCACGCCGTTAGCCGTTAGTCGCTCGTCGTTCGTCGCCCGTCGCTGGACGCTCGCCTCAAAACGCTCGTGGCTCACTCGCCCTCTTCATTAGCCGCACGGCGTCTTGCCACTCGCCGCTCGCCGTTCATCTCTCGTCGTTCGCCGTACGCCATTCGCCGTTGGCCTTCATTCTCCGTTCGCCGCTGGAGTTGTCAAAAGCATTAGCACGTCCTCAACTTGAAGATCCTTGCACGCTGTGCCGTCACCGTTAAATGGCCGTGCCGTTCAAGAGCCGCCGCCTTTCTCGACCCCTTTCAAGAGTCGCCGATGGACTTCAGCCGTTTTCGTCCGCGCGGACGAGAATCCGTTGCCGTCCGCGCGGAGGAAAACCCGTTGCCGTCCGCGGTTCTCATCCGCGCGGTCCCGCGAATGGTCGTCTCCGGCACGGCAGCTTCGGCGGATCTTCTGCTTCCAACTATTTCCGGACTTGATCTCGACGAACGGGCTCGAGCGGTACGTCAACGAAATCTTGGGGTTCCTAAAGGCGTTCCGCGCGATCAGGCAGTCACTGACGAGCCGTTCGTCGAGCTGCCGCTTCCGCTCAGTTCGTCGGGCGATCAGACGATATATCTGACGATGAAACCGCTCTCGACGTCCGAGTACTAATCGAAAGCGGGCTAGCGTCGCTGTTTCCTCCGGGAAATCCGCCGTGCAGCCACTGCTTCTGCTTCTGCTGCTGCTGCTGCTGCTGCTGCTGCTGCTGCCAGGAGTCATTATCTGACGTTTCCTCTGCGGCCAAGAGTACGACTTGCTGCCGTCCCTGCGTGCGTTGCGCTGGCGAGCTGTCGGACGTGGTTCGTTAGACCGTGGGACGAGTAGTAACAGTGTTACTGCGCGTCCTGTCCGTTGCCTTCCGTCGCAAAAAAAATCTTCGCATGCTATCGCTGACGCTAATCTGCTCAACCGATAGTGCTATTGGACGCCGAGCTCCCGGCACCACTAATTGGAAGCGAACGGAGGCAGCGAAAGAAAAGGTTCTCACGGGACCAGTAAGGAGCTATTTCGCTGAAGTCCCACGGGAACAGAAGATTCAGCAAGAGAATTCCACAGAGAGAATAATTTCATAAGCTCCTCTTCATCTTCAGCTCACTATTACTATAAACGAACAGAAAACTAAGAAACAGGCATCTCGAAACTAACGCATGAGCTCGACGCACCCTGAGAAGCAGGCTCGCGAAGCGACGATTAATCTGCTGATGGTTAACGCAACCGATGAACTCTAACCTTACAAGCGCTATAAGCGGTAAGCTAGAGTCGCGAGGGGGTTCCAACAGTAGCCATGGCTGGTTTAGGAAGCCATGGCAAGGTTGAGCTACGCTAATCTCGAGAAATTCTGATGACAGAATTGAGAGAGGGAATGGCAGAGGGGAAAAGTGAGGGCTTGGGGAATGCCGTGAGACGTTGGGTTCACCCAGCCACGAAAAGCACGCTGCTGTGAGGTTGGGACGTTGCTGCTGCATGCTGGAAAAGCAGGAACGGGGAGGCGACAAGGGTGTTCGCGAAACAGAGAGGTTTCGCTTCGCCCGCCCTCCGCCGCTGCGCTGCGGCCCAAAGCTCTGGCGGAGAGCGGTTGGGGAATTGATCATTCACCTGTCACTGCTAGCTCGCACCGCCAGCGGCGGCAGGCGAAGAGTGTTCACTTCGTCAGGAGGAGTGAGGCTCATACTACGGGAAACGAACAGGCTCGCGAAGTTACACTGACGTCGTCATCAGAGGGCAGTCTGCGTGCGGCGGATTTTGGGTGGGCGCGGCGTAAGAAGTGTTTGCGCACAACGCGGCTCTCCGCTCGCCGCTCTGGTGCGAAAAGTCGATTGCGAAATGGTTCTGCCAGGCGACAATCGTGACGCGACCAGTGTCGAAGTTTTATTGGCTTCGTAAGCGAATAAGACGACGTATTTCGAGAGACAAAACGGTTGCCGAAACTCAGAGGACTCTAGCGACCGGAACGGAGTCCGTCGCAGCGCTGGAGCTGTGGAAAATTCCGGTTGGGCGCAGCGCACGCCCCCGAGTGTCCTCGCGGGAGCGTTCCCCTGACACCAGCGGCTGGCGGCTGCCGTGATCAGTCCCAGTGAAGCTGGGACACGTGGTAGACATCGCTCTGTTTTCAATGATCCAACGGACGATGACATTTTTTTGGGACGGAGAGAATCGCATGAACCGAATTGGCGGCAATTAATTTGAAGGGCTCGGTTTCGGGCCCACTTCAGTCACTAAATGCTGTAGCGAAAATGATCAGCTGATAATAAAAACTTAGTACAGCACATCACAACCAGCAGAACGCTATGTATGGTTCATGTTGATGCATAAATGCTGCACCGATATGTTAGCAACCACACCTGGGGAGTTACTATCCGCAAGCTTCAACTCCTGTAGAAATATGTAACACAATAAAACCCAAGGAGAAACGCAATCCATGCATCACCATAGTGCACCTTGAGGCACCAGAGAAAGCAAGCATACCAGAGACGAGCTATTTAGACAGCCGAGATTCCAACCAGAACTGAAAGAAGGCTATGGTACAAGCAATATAAGCATCACATCCATTGTGGATAAGCCTTAGCATCTTGTCTACTATCATAGGAGGAACCACAACAATCTGTCACGCCTCACATCAGAATCTTCTCTCGGCTGAGCTATGGGCTTATTCTGGAATGGGGTACCGGCTCATCCTAGATTGACATCCTGCCCCTGCGGCCTGCCCCTGCCCCTGCCCCTGCCCCTGCCCCTGCCCCTGCCCTTGCCCCTGCTAATGCTCCTGCTTCTACTCCTGCTTCAACTGCGTTCAATCTAAGCTGTGCTACCTGCTCCAACTTCTGCTCCTTCTGCTCCTGCCCCTGCTCCTGCTGCTACTCCTGCTCCTGCTCCTGCTCCTGCTCCTGCTCCTGCTCCTGCTCCTGCTCCTGCTTCTGCTTCTTCCCCTACTGCTCCTGTCTCTGCTCCGGCTCCTGCTCCTGTCTCGGTCCCTACTCCTGTCCCTGCTCCTGTCTCTGCTCCTGTCTCTGCTCCTGCTCCTGCTCCTGCTTCTGCCCCTGTCCCTACTCCAACTCCTGTCCCTGCTCCTGCTCCTGCTCCTGCTCCTGCTCCTGTCTCTGTACCTGGCAGCAGCAGCGCGCCGAGTTTCCTCCAGCTTGGCCCGCTTCACCCTCTCCTGCTCCTGCTTCCTCGCGTTCTCAGCTGCCGTATCCTTCTTGACTGCCACACACAGGAAGGAAAGCCACAGCAGCAGAACAAAAGCTTGTTCATGAGTGCACTTTGTTCATGAGTGCACTTTGTTCATGAGTGCACTTTGTTCATGCTTTTGAGTCGACTCAAAAGCAGAGCATGGGTCTGTGGGAGAACGGACACATGCAGGCACACACAGAGTGCACCTTGTTCACAGCAACGCATAAAGAATGCACACTTTGTTCTGTTCCTTCCTGGACCATCGGAACCTACTGTGCTTGTTCAACTGGCGTGCCATGAGCCGCTTCAGCCTCTCCTGCGGGGCCTCCTTCGCCCCTCCCTCTGCTGTTTCACCCACGAAAGCTAACCTTCAAGCCCTATTCCCACCCATTTCATTTTCAACCTACTGTGTTTGTTCAACTGGCGTGCCATGAGCCGCTTCAGCCTCTCCTGAGGGGTCTCCTTCGCCCCTCCCTCCGCTCCCTTGCCTGGCCCCTTCCCCTCCCCTGCAGCTCGAGGCAGTGCGGATGACCCGAGAGAGCGCCGGCTGCGGGGGAGATGAGGGGTTGGAGAGAGGGGTTTTGAAGGATGGTTACTTCGTTAAGGGGAAAAGGGAAGAGAGGAGAGCGGGAAGAGGGGAATGGAAGGCTGGAGCGGAGGACTGCCCGTTGCAGCTTGAGGCAGAGTGGATGACGCTAGAGAGCGCCGGCTGTGGGTGGTGACGACGAGTGGAAGTGGAGAGGGGAAAGAGGCCGGGGTGGGCAGAGGGGACAGGGGCCGGGGTGGGCAGAGGGGACAGGGGTTGGGCAAAGGCAGCTTGAGGCAGTGCGGACGACGCTAGGGAGCGCCGGCTTTAAGGAGAACGGGTGGAAGTGGAGAGCGGGAAAGACTGGGCAAGTGGGAGGCTTGCACAGATATACAGTGTGGCAACCAGCATACGCAGGTGACCAACAAGCATCTTGAGACGTCTTGAAACAGTACAGTGGGGCAACAACAAGCATAACCACATACTGTTTACACACATGCTGTTTACCTGACAGCTGGTGGTTGCTTGGAAGAGGCAGGCAAAGGGGAGGCAGCAAAGCCTCTACTTTCAAAATGCTCCTCCCTGTACTCTCTCCTCCTCTCCTTCTCCCTGCCCCTGCTGCCCTCCTCCCCATCCCCCCTTGCCTCCCCCCCAAACTGAGTGATAAACTCAACTCCGCCCTCCCTTTCCCCACTGCCTCCAGAGTCCCTTGTCCCGTCGCCCCCTCGCCACCTTTCCTTATCGCTCCGTCTATCCCTATCCCTATCCCTATCCCTATCCCTGTCCCTATCCCTATCCCTATCCCACCTTTCCCTCTCCCTCTCCCTATCCCAATCTCGGTCTTTCTCCCCGTCTCGCTCCCTACCTCTCCCCCTATCATCTTGCAGCCCCTGCCTCTCTGTCTGTCCCCCCACCCGCGCCAACGCCTGCTGCTTCCACCCCTCCCCCTTCCCCTGCGCTCCCCCTTCCTTCCCCTGCCTGGCTATTTTCCGCCGCTGCTTGCGTGATAGGCGCTGGTAGGGTGGGGGCGAAGACAACAACACACAACAACACAACAACACACAGTGGTGAGATGTCAGGTGTGTTTTGATTCGACTCTAAACACAACAACACACAGTGGTGAGGTGTCACAGCCACTATGATCGTGGGGTGGATCGTTGCCTGCCATCTGTCACTCTCTCCTCTACTATTTAGTTAGTTAAATCTTTCGCTTAGATTAGGCACAGAGTTCTCAGTTTGCCTAGCTGTAATCGAACCCGCTCATTGCAACAGCCATAGCGACAGTCTGGTCTCTCTGTGTCTCAGCCCATGTGCGCTTCGAGATGCACTAAAACCCTGTGTTGCCACTCACCGAATCATTGCTTGCCAGCTGTCGCGCTCTCTTCTCCTTCTCCACTGCAGCCACCGCCTGATCCATGTGCCAACCATTGACATACGTTCCCAGCACATCTTTAAAGACACGTTGAAACGCAGCCATTGATTCGCCCACATGCCGTACCTTCCCACGTCCACTTGCCAACCACAGTGTGCATCAGACTACAGACACAGACACTCACCGAATCATTGCCTGCCATCTGTCTCGCTCTCTTTTCCTTCTCCACCGCAGCCAATGCCGCATCCATGTGCCGTCCATACTCCTCTATGCCGTACCGCTCCGCCATATCTGCCAAACGCTGCCGCCCACTGGCCGACATCCACCCATATTCCTCCACATCCCCCCCCTCCCCCTCGTTCCCCTCCCCTTCTTCCTCCTCCTCCTCGTCCTCATCCTCATCATCCTCCTCCTCGTTACAGTCACCTGCGTTACTGTCACTACCCCCGTAAGAGAACGCCACGTTTGCATAAGCCCCCTTGCCTGCTGCTGGTGCTCCTCCTGATGATGCTGCTGCTGCTGCTGGTGCAGCTGGTAGTTTCGGCCTGGTGAAGGTAGAAAACCATTACAATTATCAAATGGGACGTGTGCTTGTGTGCAACATTTTAAAGAAAAATATAACATCTTGAAATGAATGAGAGGCATCCACTGGCAACCTCCTCATGAGAACGCATGAGGAGGCAAGCAAAAGCAAGTGTTACCTGTTGGCTTTAAGCTGGGCGTGGGCTCTCGCCTCCATCTCTCGTTCCACCTGGTGTAATCCTTCCTCCTCAGTCTCTGCCACATGCCACCACATCCCACCACATGCCACCCTTCTTGAGAACTCTAACACGGGCCACCGGGAATTCTTGAGAATTCTAGCGCATGCCACCACAAATTACTCAGAATTCTAACGTAGGGCAGAACGTTGTAAGGTGAGGGGAGGGAAGGCAACGTCTGAATCAACGAGTGGTGGAAGGTGGGGCAGCCGGAGGTGAAGATAGGACTTGTGAATCGACCCAAAGGGTGGAACCGGAAGGGGTGAAGAACGGTGAAGAACGTGAAGAACTGTGAAGAACAGTTGCGTGCGTTTTTTAGATTTCTCATTTGTGAGCTAAATGTACCGAAAACAGGCGTGGCAACTCACTTGTGTGCCAGCCCAGTCGCACTAGATCCCTGTACCGCTCAAAGTTGCACGCCTCCTCTTCCTCCTCCTCCTGCTCTGTCCTCTCCCTGCCTGCGTGCCTGCGAGGGTCATACTCCCGAATAAAGTCCAGCATGGCTCGACCATCAAACCTGTGAGAGCAATTTATGGGGGTGAGAGTGCATAGACAACTTAAAACTTCCTGCATGCCTGCGCCAGTGATACCCCCGAATAAAGTACAGCATAGCCCGCCCGTCAAACCGGTTTTGCCACATTGTTGGGCGGGTGGGTGGGAGTGGGAGGATGAGAGGGGGGTGAGGGCGGGTGAGGAGTCCATTTTTGAGGCGCCTCAAAAATAGACTCCTCACGGGTGGGAGTGGTGAAGGCGGGTGGGATGGGAAGGGTGAGGGCGGGTGGGCGTGGGCGGCCGTTCCAAGTCTAACATGGATTCTGAGGTCTAATCCACTGCTGGACCTCACTGCTGGGCGAGGGCGGGTGGGCGTGGATTCTGAGGTCTAATCCACTGCTGGACCTCACTGCTGGGTGAGGGCGGGTGGGCGTGGATTCTGAGGTCTAATCCACTGCTGGACCTCACTGCTAGGTGAGGGCGGGTGGGCTTGGATTCTGAGGTCTAATCCACTGCTGGACCTCACTGCTGGGTGAGGGCGGGTGGGCGTGGATTCTGAGGTCTAATCCACTGCTGGACCTCACCTGCAGATTCTGACTCTAATCCTCACTCGGCCTCCATTCCCACATGCCATCAAATCTTCATTATAGGAACACGCATTTAGGTGAGGTGGCGCGGTGTACCTGTCTATGAGCGTGTCCTCTCTGTTGTTCCAAGGGATGCTGGAGGAAGGGAGAGGCGCGGCAACGAGCGGAACCAGGGAGAACAGAGAGAGAACCAGAGCACAAGAACAAGGGAAGGCGTTTTTGAGGCGCCTCAAAAGCGGAACCAGGGAGAACAGAGAGAGAACAGAGCGGAAACAGGGAGAACGCCCTTGTGCTCTGTGCTCTGTGCTCTGAGCACAAGAACAACGGAAGGTAGCAGAAAGGAGTTGGACACAGAAGGAGCATTGGGATGGGATCGAAAAGAAGTCTATCTTTAGCCTGGTTATGGCAGAAAAGGGCTTCCTCAGAACAGAAAAGTGAGGCGAGAAACGAACGGTAGAGGGAGACAGCGAGGGGGGAGGGGAGGAGAGGGGTGGTGGGGAGAGGGGGGGGAAAAGGGGGGTGAGGGGGAATGTCAGTGCGGTATAGTAAATGGGGGGGGGGAGGGGGAGATGCGCAGGGGAATAGGGTGCACGGGGCGGCCGTGGATCCAGGGAGGGGGCGAAGGGATAGGGGACACAAACAGACCGCTGAGGTCCTGCGCGGAGCGGTAGACAGCGGAGTCGTGCGCCACGCGGGGAGCGGGGATCGGGAAAGAGGGGAGGGGGGAGGGGGGAGACGCGGAGAAGAGAACGGCAAGCCAAGGAGACAGACAAGCCTCGGCTAGTAGCAAATCGGTTGAGGGATAGGGGTCACAGACAGGCCGTGTTGGTACGGTTAACAACAGCCTGTGGATCCAAGGAGAGGTGAAGGGGATAGGGGGTCCCAGACAGGCCTCCGCGAAGAGAGGGGATCCAAGGAAAGGGGAAGGGGATAGGGGGTCCCAGACAGCCCGGGATGGCCGCTGGATCCAAGGAGAGGTGACGGATAAGGGGGGTCACAGACAGGCCTCCGTGAAAAGAGAGAATCAGTAGAGGGATAGGGAGTCACAGACAGGCCGCTGAGGTCCTGCGCGGAGTGGTAGACGGCGGAGTCGTGCGCCACGCGGCACTTGCTCCCCGCCACGCGCAGCTGCTGCGTCGGGTCCCCCGCGCGCCGAGAGCGCTGCTCCGCCCGCCGCTCGGCGCGCTTCTTCGCCGCGTCCATCATCTCGTGCACGCGCCGCTCCGACCGCCGCGCCTCGTGCCACATGGCGGCGACCGCTCTGATGTTCCTGCGCTGCTTTTATTGAATTAAATTCCCCGCTGAGAAATGCGTGAGACTTGGCCAGCGCCCCAGCATGAAAGCTCAATCCACTCCTAACTAGAATAGGTCGTCATGGCCAATCTTGGGTCTCTAAATGCGAATGATGTGATTGGAGGAGGACAGAAGCCAATTTCAACCGTTCCAGACTGGTGCCTGCCAGAAGCATTGCAGGGTTACCACAACGAATCGACTTGATTTGACCTTGAACCCGACCAACAACGAACGGGTTCAAATTCCACGCATTTTGTTGAACCCCAAAGGAGAGTTCGCGAAGCTGGCTCTGGCGAATAACACATTTATCATTGCAGGTTCTTTCGGGGCTGACGAACCTCGCTGCGATTTCACGCGATCGAGCTCCTCCGCAACCAGAGTTACAGTGGCTGGCGAAACTCATCCGCAATTCGTTTCTCTCCGTAAAAACCCCGTTCTCGCACCTCATGAAATCGATGGATGTGAAAATGGGATTCCTCGGCAATCCCGAGGGCTGGCGGTGGGAGAGGAGCAGTTCGCATTGGTGTTCATTGCATTTGTCGAATTGGTGCTGTATTCTCGAGGAACATCTAGATTCTAGAACCAGATAATATGTGCTACCTATCATCGCCATCAGATGGGATAGTGCTGTCGCCCAGTGAGCAGCTAGCTAAAATAGCAGCCCGGCACCTCAATCATTTACTCCATCAGTCCACAGCAGTGTTTTCGGAGTCTGAAACACTTATCGGTACACGCGAACCAGACCATACGTTTCACCATCCAGTCGGGGTCAGTAGGTTCCAGACTTTCTCGAGGAATTCATGACCATTTCCGTCTCCTTGCGTAGATCTGCCCGCCGTTCGCTATGGCGCGTCGTACCTCTAACGTCACGCCCATCCATCGGATCGAGTCCGAGTTTCAGGTGCACAAGCTCCACGCTTTCTTCTCAAAGTACGCATTGTTCAGACAGCTTAAACCCGAAACTCTGCTACTCCTTCCTCGCATCGAGATTTGCTATTCCTTCCTCGCCAAGCCTCTACCAGTTCGGAGACAACCCACACCAACCTGTTCGAAACATATCAGCCAGGATTCGAACCCCTGACCGGAGCTTCGCAATGTGGTCTGCCGCTGGAACGGCTTCCAGGCCAGCAGACGCTCCAGAGGCAGAGGCCGCGATCTCCGGGCCTGAACCACGTGTCGGGAGCAAGCTAGAGCAGAGGGATGAAGCGGAGCTTAAAACGCGTACAGTGGGGGACGAGGAGGGGGAGAGTGGGGGAGGAGGTGAGGGGAGCATCGGGAGTGTGGAAAGAGGAGGGGGGGGAACGAAGGCGGGGACAAGAGGGTTGGGAGGAGAGCGGAGATAGCGGGGGTAGATAGTGAGGGAGGCTGGAGTAAGAGTAGCGGAAGGGAGAAATGCGAGGAGGAGGAGGCAGGCAGTGATTGCTGGAGTGCTGATGGAGAAATTCGGGCCTCAGATTGTGAGAGAGGAGTTGGAGGAGGGGCCTGGAAACGGAAGGAATGAGGACGAAGAGGAGGTGGAGGAAGAGGGGGGGAACGTGGATCCTCTATTGGAGGAAGAGGAGGATCAGGAAGCAGAAGCGAGTGAGGAGGACTCCCCAGCCGCCACATCTCGTCCCACACGCCCTACTTCACTCAACAGCGCACGTGCAACCTCTCCCTCCTCCCTCCTCTCCCTCTACCGCTTCTTCTCCTCCCACCTCGGCATCTCCTCCCCTTCCACTGTCGCCTCCTTCCTTGCCTCCTGTCCTGCACTCTTACGTTCTGATCCCACGAATGACCTTCTGCCACGTGTCCATCTCCTCCAATCATATGGCATATCACATGCCCACATTACCCACATTACCATGAAAACCCCAGCCTGGCTCCGAGCCTCCCTTCCACAGGTTACGGAAATGCTCGAGTTTCTGTTGGCTCGAGGTGTTCGCCGAACCAGATTGGGCTCTGTTCTCGGACGCGGGCGAGGCTTAATTTGCTTACAGGCACGTTCAACGAACCTGGACATTCTGGTGGAGAGAGCAGGGGTTCCTGTGGACAAGCTGGGTGTGATTGTAGAGAGGTTCCCAAATTTCTTAAATCAGAGAGATGAATCTTTAGTGATGCAGCTTGAGCGGTTGTCAGCCTATTTCACAGAGGCATGTGGAGGGGAACGGGAAGGAGAGAGCACCAGCACAGGGCACCTGAAGCAGCGATCCAGTGAGCAGCACGTGGGCAACAACCACCTGGCCAGGCTTATTCTGAAGTTTCCGGCTATCCTCACTTGTTCTCCCCACCACATCGCTAACAGTCTCGCCATCCTCCAGTCCTTCACTCCCCCAGGTACCCCCTCCATTGCAGTCCCTGTTCTTCGCAACGCCCCCTCTGTCCTCGCCCTCAGCTCAGATACTCTCTTAGCTAAGCTCCAGTTCTTTGTGGAGCTGGTGGGGGAGGAGGCGGCAGGGAGGGTGGTGCGGAGCCAGCCACAAGTGTTAGCTCTGTCCATAGGGAAGATGCAAGGCAATGCGGCGTTATTGAGTGATTTGATTGGGAGGGATAATGTTGCTCAGGCAGTTGCACGACACCCGCTCCTGTTGGCTTCAAGTGAAGATAACTTGAAGGGGAGTTTCAGAGGGCTTGTGCGGGAAGTGCAAGAGGCATTGGAGGGGAGGGAACGAGGAGGGGAAGACAGCTTGGAGGGAGGTGGAAGAGAAGAATGCCGGGAAGGGGCCAAAGGGTCTCAGGTTCAAAACGCAATGTTAGACGGCAAGAGAAGCAGGGCTGTCCAATTGGTGGTGGATCTAGTGGTTAAGTTCCCTCAGTCTATCTACTACAGCTGGGAAGGAAACACGAAGCACAAGGTGGATTACTTAAAGCGGGACATGGGGCTCTCTATAATGGAGGTGCTTGCCTTCCCGCCCTTCCTTAGTTACAGTTTGGATCGGCGAATCAGACCACGCCATGTGGCACTGCTGCGCGTGGGCTATGTGGTCGCTCCATATAAGGTGGTCCTTCAGAATCTTGGTCGGGACAGGAGAGGGAACTTGAGGGGAGTTCGGATGACGGGGAGGAAGCAGGTAGATGTGCGTGGGGAGGTAGAGAGGCCTCATAAGATGTCAGAATGTGGGGAGGATAAAGGGGGGGAGGATAAAGGGGGGGAGAATGAAGGGGGGGAGGATGAAGGGGATTTTCAAGGGGAGGGCAGCAGCAGCAGACCACGGGGGGAAGGCACTACGGATGAGCAGGGTGCGAAATGGCAGCAGCATAGGACTATGGTGTGCTTAACTCAGTTCCTAGGTTGTTCGGAGAAAGAATTCCAAGTTAAGTTCAGTGTCAAGCTAGAGGGTATGCGTTGATGCATATGCACTGCGTGTTACGGATGTTGCACTGCATGCTACGGATGTTGCACCAGCTGGAGGATGATCAGGGCATCCAGCTCACGAAGAGATAGGATGCCAGTTTCTTAGAATTCTCAAGGACGATCATTTAGATCCACAGCGTCATCTGCACGGGGGGTGGGCAGCAGGAGCAGCAGTATGGGCAGGGAGAGCAGAAGAGCAGGCGGAGCAGGAGCAGCGGGATTAGGAGTAGGAGGGCCAGGGGGGCGGATCTCAGTGATGCAGCTGCGGGTGATGGTTGAAGCCAACCCAGAGACTATGGGGCAGCGGAGCAAGCATGAATTCAAGGGAAGGCAATGGGACGGGGATGGGGATGGGGATGGGGATGGGGATAGGCGGGCTGAATGCACCCTTCGGAAGATCCACAGCTTCGTTTGCAAGAAGGAGAGCAGCAGGAGGAGCAGCAGGAGGAGCAGCAGGACTAGGAGTAGCAGGATTATTAGGAGCGGGATTAGGGGGGGGAGGAAGGTCAGGGCCAGGGGGGCGGATCTCAGTGGTGCAGCTGCGGGAGATGGTGGAAGCAAACCCCGAGGCGTTTCTGCGCGCCTTTGATTCCGTGGCCAAGCGGATGGAGGCAGCGCGCAAGAGGCGGACCGTTACGGTTTCCAGCAAGCACAACTCGCGGACCGACATCCTCCGATCCGAAGTCTCCTTAGACATTCCCTCCGTCTCGCCCTTTCCCTTCCCGCTCCCGTCCCTCACACGCCTTCCCCTCTTCTCCTCCCCCTCCTCCAACTCCTCCTCCTCCTCCTCATCTCCCTCCTCCTCCTCCTCCTCTTCCTCCTCCTCTTCCTCCTCTTCCTCACCCCCCTCCTTCCCGCTGCACATCAGAGCAGTGGCAGAGGGTCGCCCCTCCTCCCCCTTCACCCGCTTCTCCATCGCCCCGGGAACTCCGCCTGAGGTGGGACTAGCCCCGCCTGGTGCCGTCCTTCGGAGCCACTTTACACTCTGGGGACAACTCGCTCGTGCAAATCTTCCACGATCTACAGGTGCGCTCCCAAGCGCCTTCAGGTGCACGTTCCATGCAGGTGAGGCATCGACCATGGGGTGGCTTTTGAGGGGACTCGAGAGTCTCTAACTGCCAATTGCATGCCTTCTTTTTTTTGGCGCCTCAAAAATAGACCATGGGATCGACCGCACCCACCCCAGCACCCGCTGTGCCTTGCAAGATCGCTCCAAGTGTCAATTGCAAGGTTTCTGTGACGTGTCAGACATCCAATCTAGGCTCCCTCCCTCCTCCCTTCCGCCCGCCCTCCTTTGTCCTCCTCCTCCCCCCCCCTCTCCCCCTGCTCCCACAGGAGCGCCCAAGCCGCCGAACAGCGCTCATGGTGGGGTGGTGGGCTCTAGTGGTTGCGTGTCCATCTAAAAAATCCTCTCTGTGCCCGCTGCTCTGCTCTGGGTACCCCTCTCATCCACCACAGGAGTGCCCAAGCCGCCGAACAGCGCTCATGGGGGGGTGGTGGGCTCGCTCCATGGCCTACCGTGCCATCCTCTCACTCAAGCTGCCTGCCTGCCATGTGGTATGTGCCTCTTAAATCCGGTCCCATGCTCGCTCCATGGCCTACCCTGCCATCCTCTCCCTCAACATGCCCGCATGCCATGTGGTATGTTCTTTTCAGAACTCGCGTGCATTCGCACTTGATAACTCGCGTATTCCCATGCTCCCATGCTCCCGTGCTCTCTCTATGGCCTACTGTGCCATCCTCTCCCTCAAGAAGCCTGCGTGCCATGTGTGGTATGTGCATCTTGGACTCGCACATAGACCTTGGCAAGTGAGACCTTGGCAAGTCAGACCTTGGCAAGTTAGACCGTGGCAAGTGAGACCTAGGAAGTGAGACCGGGGGAAGTAAGACCTTGGAAAGTGAGACCTTCTCGGGAAGTGAGACTTATGGAAGTGAGACCTCGGGGCACACAGCCCTACCCGATTCCACTCTGTACTTCCCCCCTCCCACAGCTTACCCCCCTCTCCCTCGTCCTCCCCCTGTCCCCCCTTCTGGACATGCTGTGGTTTGACTTCCCCCGGGGCGAGTTTTTGCTGAACCAGGTCAACGGGCTCAAGGCCAGCCTTTTCCTGCCGTGCAAGCCTCTCAGGGGAGTGCTTCAGGTGGAAGGGCGCTCGCCAGACACAGCCACTGTGGGGTTTGCATATCAGGTAGGGGCTTATTCACACGGTGGGTTTGCATATCAGGTAGGGGCTTATTCACACGGTGGGTTTGCATACCAGGTAGGGGCTCATTCACACGGTGGGTCCGCCTACCACGTACCTAAGCCAGCCTTTTCCTGCCGTGCAAGGTGCTGAGGGGAGTGCTTCAAGTGGAAGGGCCTTCGCCGGACACAGCCACTGTGGGGTTCGCCTACCGGTTAGGGCTTGCTGTTGAGTGGGGTTTACCTGCCACTCACCTGTGTGGGCCAGCCTTCTCCTGCTGTGCAAGGCGAGCCGCTGAGGGGCGTGCTGCAGGTGGAAGGGCGGTCGCCAGACACTGCCACTGTGGGTTTTGCATACCAGGTAGGGGCTTGCTCAACTCTTGCCACTGTGGAAAGGAGTTATTGCACCTAACAGATACTACTGGCTTCGGCTTTGCTTATGGGATGTGTTTCTCGTGCAGCCGTTTTGCGCTGTGTTGCGTTTTCTCCACACTTTCATGATAAACAGGCTGCGCTGTTTTTGCGCAGAAGTATGGAGAAAACGCAGGAACTTGCGATCCTCACTTCCCTTCCTCCCTCCCTCCCCCCTTCCCCCCCTCGCCATCTTCCCCCCCTCGCCATCTTCCCTCACTCCTCCCTTCTCCAGCACCCCTTTGGAACACGTATCACTCCCTCATTCTCTCTTGCCGACCGGGGCATGCCATTGGAGGTTCTTCAGCCAATCACAGTGCGACAGCTGGGACGCGCTGTCAAGCCCGAAGCTCAAATACGGTATGAAGCTTAATCCGATTCTGAGGGGCGTATTACTACTTCTGTCAACTGGAACTAGTAACATATTCTGTAGAAGCATTCGTAAACCCTGGAAACAGATGGCAGCACAGGCCCTTCCAGGGTGCATTCATCCCTCCACTTTTTCCTCTCATGTCTTGTTCTTGTTGTACGTTTTCCTCTCACCGTTCGCTTTCTGTTCCCGAGACCCACTCTCCCTGGTTCAGGAGCACAGTTTCAGGCGTGAGGCAGGGGTGGGAGTTGGAGACCACAAGGTTCCTGTGTACAGATGAGGTGGTTGGGGGGGGCTGCAGGAGCGTCCCAGACCAGGAGAATACATACTTGCATTTTTCAGGCGCCTACGGTCCCTTTCTCCATGTGCTTCCCTTCATCCCTCCCAGATTCAGGAGTACAATATCAGGCATGAGGCAGGGGTGGGAGGTGGCGACCACAAGGTTCTTTTGTCCAGATGTGGGGGAAGGAGAGGGGGGGGGGGGGAGCAGGAGCGTCCCAGAAGCATCCTCGTAGTTTTCAGGCGCCAATAATCCCCTTTCTCCATCCATCTGCTTCCCTCCATCCCTGCCAGGTTCAGGAGCACGATATCAGGCACGTGGCAGGATTGGGAGGTGGAGACAACAAGGTTCCTGTGTACAGATGAGGTGGTGGTGGGGGCAGCAGGGGCGTCTCAGGGCGGAGTGGCAGTGAGTGTTGGGTACAAGGCTGGTGTGGTGCCTGTGGCCTTCATTTCCCTCTCTGTAAGCACCTCTTGTCGCTCGTCCTTAAAGCATTTCCTAAGGTCATCGCCTCTTTATAAGCACGTTTGGTAGTTTGTGTCTCCTTTACGTCACGGTCTGTTGTCTTATTATATAGCATCTTGTTTCATAAGAGCTATGATCAACATTTATTTCTTCGGCCATGGCAGGGAGGGGGTAGAAGGTGGCGCAGGAAAGCAGGGTCTGGCAAGGGAGCTGGTTACCAGCTAAGGCTGGAAGTGCCGCCATCAAATCTCAGGAGAGCAGTGATTTCATGGGACGACACCCATGGTATAGAATTCTAGTGATTAACATAAGCTATTTTAGTTTTCACTGGGTGTAGTTGTTCAATCTGGAGAAGCTTAAATGTACTCTACAGTCATGTGATAATCCACTGTATCTCCATTATTGTCCTCCGCGTAATAGCAGCAGCGGCGAAGTTCCGAAATCTGGCCATGTAACCGTCCGTTTCAATTTGCTTCGGCATTTTCTGTGTCTGTTCGGCAATCTCAGGGCTGGCGGCAAGAGGCTCTAACCCCCATCTCTTCGATGCATTTTACCTGGGAACTCGAGAGTTAGGACTCGGCACCTGGCGTGCAGCTGTCCTTCAGCAATCCCAGAAGACGCGGATGAGAAGCATAGCTCGTTAATTAACGGCTCATTGACGCGAAATGCTTTTCCTGCAGTCGGTGCGTTAACATTGGTTCTTGTATTCCGAACCACTGTACCGCGACGATTTCATGAGCTTTTTGGACCCGTTTCGGAGATCGACCCGCCGTTCGCCGCTATGGCGACTCCGATCCCTTGCATCACGGCCGTCCATTGCGTCGGATTCAAGATACAAATACAACAGCTACATGCTTTCGTCGCATTCCCCTCGTTCGGAGTGTTTCGATCGGGAGCACAGGATTGCATCGACATCTGCTACTAGTCCTTCCTCGCCAATGCTATATCCGATCGGGTTTAACCTACACCAACCTGCGCGAAACGCATCCGCCAGGATTCGAACCCCTGACCGGAACCTCGCGGTATGGTCTGCCGCTGGGTTGTATTCCAGGCCAGCAGACGCTCTACAGGCAGAGGCCGCGATCTCCGGGTCTGAACCAGATTTCGGGAGCAAGCCAGAAGTAGCGAGGGAAGCGGAGTTGATAAAGCGTACAGTGGTGAACGAGGAGGGAGGAAGCAAGGGAGGAGGAGGTGAGAAGAGCATCAGGAGAGGTGGGGAGGAGGAGTTGGTTAAACAAGAAGGCGGGTATGAGAAGGTTGAGAGGAGTGCAGGGAAAACAGAGGGAAAGAGTGAGGAAGGCGGAAGGAAGAGTAGAGGGAGGGTAGAGTGCGAGAAAATGGGTAGGGGGGGAGGGAGTAGCGAGGAGGAGGAGGCAGTGGCAGTGATTGCTGGAGTGCTGATGGAGAAATTCGGGCCACAGATTGTGAGAGAGGAGTTGGAGGAGGGGCCTGGAAACGGGAGGAATGAAGATGAAGAGGAAGCAGGAGCAGAAGCGAGTGAGGAGGTGGAGGAGGAGGATGGCGAGGAGGACGAGGAGAAAGCAGTGGGTACTCTATTGGAGAAAGAAGGGGCGGAGGAAGGAGAAACAGAGGCGAGTGCGGAGGACTCACCAGCCGCCACATCTCGTCCCAAACGGCCTACTCCACTCAACAGCGCACGTGCAACCTCTCCCTCCTCCCTCCTCTCCCTCTACCGCTTCTTCTCCTCCCACCTCGGCATCTCCTCCCCTTCCACTGTCGCATCTCTCCTTGCCTCCCACCCCCAACTCCTGCGCTCCAATTCGTGCAATGACCTCCTGCCACGTGTCCATCTCCTCCTGTCATATGGCATATCCCATGCTGACATCGTTCACGCCACCATGAAGAACGCATCCTGGCTGCGAACGTCCCTCCCACAGATCCAGGATATGCTCGAGTTTCTCTTGGCTCGAGGCGTCTGCCGAACTAAGCTGGGCTCAGTGCTCCTACATCGTCGAGGCTTAATTCGCTCGCAGGCTCGTTCAACGAACCTCGACATTCTGGTAGAGAGAGCAGGGTTTCCCATGGACAAGCTGGGTGTGCTTATAGAGAGGCGTCCAGATATCTTGTGCCAGAGCAGCAAATCACTGGTGACTCAGCTCAAGCACTTGTCAGTCTATTTCACGGAGGCATGTGGAGGGAAGGTTGAGGGAGGTAGCATCAGCACAGGCCACCTGAGGCAACGGTCAAGTACTCAGCACCTGGACAACAATCATCTGGCCCGACTTATCTTGAAGTTTCCGAGCATCCTCTCTTATTCTCCTCACCGCATCTCTGCCAGCCTCGCCATCCTCCAGTCCTTCACTCCCCCAGGTACGCCCTCCATCGCAACCCGTGTTCTCCGCAACGCCCCCACCATCCTCAGCCGCAACTCAGAAACTCTCTTAGCTAAGCTCCAGTTCTTTGTGGAGCTGGTGGGCGAAGAGGCAACAGGGAGGATAGTGCGGAGCCGTCCGGATGTTCTTGGTCGATCGATAGAGAACCTGCAAGGCAAGATGGCCGTGTTGACTGGTCTGATTGGGCGAGAGAATGCCGTGCGTGCGGTGGCACAATGTCCGCTGCTGCTGAGTTCCAGTGATGCTAACTTGAAGGGAAGTTTTAGGGAGCTGGTGCGGGAAGTGGAAGACTTACTGGAAGGGAGAGACGGAGAGACAAGTGGAACAAAAACGTTGGAGGTAAGTGAGAAAGACGATGAGCTTCGAGCGTGTGACACGGCGCAAGAAGTAAAAAAAAGTAAGGCTTGTCAGCTGGTGGTAGATTTGGTAGTGAAATGTCCTCAATCTATTCTCTGCAGTTGGGAAAGGAACACGAAGCACAAGGTGGAGTACTTAAAGCGGGACATGGGGCTCTCTATGATGGAGGTCCTTCACTTCCCTCTCTTCCTTTCCTTCAGTCTGGATAGACGAATCAGACGGAGGCATCTGGCATTGTTAGACATAGGCTATGTGGTTGTTCCTTACAAAGAGATTCTGCGGATGAGTGGAGAGGGAAGAAAGGACTCGAGAGGAGCTCGGGTGAGGCGGACGGAGGAACACGTATGGGGGGGAAAGGGGAGTGAGGTGGGGAACACATGGTGTCTGTTGGGATCCACTCGAGAAGACTGCAAGCCAGGGACAGTAAATGAAACCCAAGCAGGCAGAAAGGTGTCCCTAAGCCAGCTTATAAACTGTACAGACAAGAAGTTCGAGGAGAAGTTCAATGTCAAGCTGTAGATTCTGGTTTCTGATGGGCTGGCCCTGGTTAGATGTGTCAACATATATATATATATATGTATGTATATGTATATGTATGTCGGCTATTTAGGTGCACTACAATGACTGGATCCTACTGTAGAGAGGACTGTCAACTTATACATACTTGTGCATGTAGAAGTTATTGGCTAGAATAGGTGTGTGTTCTTAGAGAGTACAACCCAAACCTTATATCTCCCTTGTTCTCTCATTTCCATTCTATTCTAGTATTCTAATTGTTAAATTATATAAGTTATTATATAAGTGTAGGCTTGGTAGATGTTATTGAACATTACTGTAGGGGGTACAACACCCCTCCTTGTATCCCCCTCTCTTCTTTCCTAACTCTCTTTTCTCTCCTCAACTTTCCTAGCACCTAAAACCTCTCGCCATTTTCATGGCTCCATCTATTCCTACCTATATCCTAACTTCAAGACACTACCATGGTATCATGAGTGGGTAGGTCCCACCCCCAACCGCTTCCGCCCTACGCCCTAGCCTACCGCGCCTCGCCGGCCCCTATCGCGTCCACCCGGCCCCTCTAGAGCCGTAGCTGGCCCCTCGGGCCTAGCCGGCCCTTCGCGCCGTCGCCGGCCCCTCGCGCCTAGCCGCCACCCCTCGCGCCCTAGCCGGCAACTCGTGCCGTCCCCGGCCCCTCGCGCCCTAGTCGGCCCCTCGCGCCGTAGCTGGCCCCTCGCGCCGTCGCCAGCCCCTCGTGCCCATCCGGCCCCTCACGCCCAATCGGCTCCTCACGCCCAGCCGGCCCCTAGTGCGCTAGCCGGCCCCTAGCGCCCTCGCCAGCCCCTCGCGCTCTAGCCGCGCCCCCCCCCTCCCCCTCGCGCCCAGCCGCCCTCTCGAGCTTCGCCGGCTCCTTCTCGCGCCTCCGCCAAACCCTCTACTGCCTAGCCAGCCCTTGCCTTCTGTTCGGCCCTCCCCCTTGCGCGCCCTCCGGCTCCTCACGCGCCCAGCCTTTGCTCCGGAGAGTCCTGCCGCCACGTTGCTATCTCGCCATGCAGCTAAGTACCTATGTCCTTGTGCCGCTGTGCCGATGTGTTCCGGTGCCACTGAGGTGTCGTGATGGCGAACGCCATGCTACGTCTGGACGCGGAGGGGCATGCGATCGACTTCGCCGCCTGGCGGGTCGATCTTCGCCAGCACATGACAGGTTAGCGCCAGGATGGACACTCTCTGGCCATGCATGTTGATGGCTTGCTTCCCCGCCCCCCCCCCCGCCTGATCCCCTACTTGCTGACCCCACCACTACTGAGAGTGAGGCCTTTGCAACTGCTGTGCTCGCTCGCGCTGTTTGGGATTCTCGCGATGTTATATCGCAGCTTGCCATTAGTCATGCGCTTCCCCCCTCAGTGAGCGTCCTCGCTTCACTGCTGTCGCTAACGCCAAAGACTTCCTAGATGTAGTAGTTGCACGCTACTCCACGCCTGCCTCCACCTTAGCTAGATGCTTGATCCTCCCCATGCTCTTCCCTGATCTCTCTGCTTTCCCTACTGTCGCTGATCTTGCCACTCACCTCCGTGCGCTAGAGATTAGCTACCGCGCTGCTAGCACTACTACCCAGCTTGCTGCCTTCCCCCCGCCGTTCTGTGCTACCCTGTACCTTATTGCCATGCGCCTGCCTGACCGCTTAGCCGCTGCACGTGATCACCTCCTTAGCCAGCACCCTAGTGACCTCACCCTGGCCGCCTTTGTCACAGCCCTTTATGAGATAGAGACTCGCCAACGCACTATCGCTTAGTCGAGCGGCGTTGCAGCAGTCCCTATCTTTCAGGGTTGCGCTCCCTCTCAGTGCACGTACGCTGACGTGTCCGCCGCAGTAGCTACGGCTGCTCCTGCCACTGAGACCGCAGCTGCGGCCTTCCCGCAGCATCAGCGAAAGCGTCGGGGCCGTCGAGGCCCCAAGGGAGGGAGTGGTGGTGGTGGTGCTGCTGCTGCTGCTGCTGCTGCTGGTGCTGGTGGCGGTGAAAGTGGCTCTGACAAGGGGGCTGGGGCAGGTGTCTAGGAGCAGCAACAACAACAGCAACACACGCAGCAGCAGCAGTTGCTGCCGCAGCAGCAGCAGCCGCAGCCGCAGCAACAGTTGCAGCCGTGGGCCCGCCTCCCGCACGGGTGTCCTGGAGCCCCTAGTAGTGGTGGCCGAGGTGGCGGTCCTCGCAGCTCGGCGTCTACCGGCGGCTTCGGTGCTGTGGGCTGCCAATACCAGCTCCAGACCGGGCCTCTTCGTGGCACTGTGTGCCGCCGCCCGCACCCGACCGCCCGTTGCTTCCGTCGCCTCGACGACCTCTTCCGTCGCCGCTTCGGCCCGGCCCCGGACCTCCCCGCCTGGCCCAGTCTGCTACGCCACGGTGTGCCTGTTTTGGACGTAGACATGGATCATATTAGTTGTGCTCTGCATTCTCTGTATGCTGACGCTTCTAGTGTGTCTGGATCTTATTGCCCTGTGTTCGCTATCTTAGGCGTAGCATCTGTGTGTAGTACAGACTCCCCTGCTACGTCAGGCATAGGACCGTTTGATTTGTCTAGCCTAGGCTCCACACTCGCGCCTCCTTCGGCTGCCGCTTCTTCTTCGTTGTCCTTCACGCTTGACTCCGGTGCGTCTGCCTGCTTCTTCCGCGACCACGCTGCGCTTACGCCGCTTGCTGCGCCTGCCGCTGTCGCACTTGCTGACCCCTCCTCTGGTCTTGTAGTTGCTAGTAGCTACACTACCCTTCCCTGTCCAGCGGTTCCCTCTGGTTCCCTTACAGGCCCGCACATCCCCTCGTTCTCCCGGAACTTAGTTGGTGTCGGCTGTCTTTAGGACCTCGGCGTCACCACTACGTTCCCGGGTCACGCGCGGTACGCGGTCTGTACCAAGGCCGCCTCAGGTTCCCCCCTTGCGACGTTCCCCCGGGACCCTGTGTCTGGCCTCTTTACGCCGGACACTACTTCCCCCCCCGGGTGGACCGTCCCCCCTGGGTCCTGCGTCTACCCAGGTCGCCGCTGCGTGCTCGTGTCGGTCGCTTACTCACGCGTCGCTTCTGTGGCACCACCGCCTAGGTCACCCCCCGCTCCCGCGTCTGTGTGACATGTCCCAGCACGGTCTCGTCCTAGGCCTCCCAGCGTCATTTCCTGCTCTCCCTCCCTCGCCTGCGCCGCCATGCACGCCCTGCGTCGAGGGCTGGCTCCGCCGTGCTCCTCACTCCTCCTCGCTTTGTCATGCCACCGCACCCCTCCAGACCCTGCACTAGGACGTCTGGGGACCAGCCCCCGTCCCTGGACCGCGTCGTACGCGCTACTTTCTCATGCTCGTCGACGACTGCACGCGCTACACCACGGTGTTTCCTCTAAAGCGGAAGGCTGACGTGCCTGACGTTCTTATCCCGTGGGTCATAGCAGCGCACCTCCACCACGGTCTCCCTGTGTTTTGTCTCCACTCCGACGGAGGCGGCGAGTTCGCCTCTAGTCGGCTTGGACAGTTCTGTCGTGCGGAGGGCATCACGCAGACGTACACCCTACCGGACTCCCCGCAGCAGAATGGGGTCGCTGAGCGACACATCGGCTTGGTCATGGAGGTGGCTCGTACCTCCATGATTCATGACGGTGCACCTCATTTTCTATGGCCGTTCGCCGTTCGCTACGCTGCTCACCAGCTTAACCTCTAGCCGCGCTCCCAGCGGCCGCAGGTTTCGCCGACCCTTCTTTGGATCGGGTTCCCTGGTGACGCGTCTGCGTTCCACGTTTGGGGCTGCCTTGCTCACATCCGTGCCTCTGGGACGGACAAGCTGACTGCCCACACTGTCCCTTGTGTCTTCCTCGGTTTCCCCCTGGACTCCTCTGACTGGCACCTTTACCACCCACCGTCTCACTGCTTCTTTCACTCCCGTAACGCCACTTTCGACGAGTCTGTCTCCTTTTACCACCGCTTTCCTCACCAAGGTCTCACGGTTTCCCCTCCTCTTTTTCTGGTCCCCACTCCCCTGGTAGTCCCTGCTCACCTTCCTCTCCGTCCTGCTCCGCCAGGTGTGTCTCACGTCACTCCCCTCCAATCGGTTGTCCCAGTAGAGGAGTCGACTGACTCTGGTGGCCCTGCGGCACAGTTCTTGCCGCCTGTCTCTCCCCCGGTGTCTCCTCCTCAGCTGTCGCAGTCGTCGCCGCCGCAGCAGCCTCTGCCTCTGTAGCAGCCACCGCCGCCGCAGCCGCCATCGCCGCAGCAGCAGCAGCAGCCGTTTGTGGCCTCTGGGGGTGCTGGCGTTGAGGAGGGTGCTAGTCCTGGGGTTCCTGTCGTGGCTTGTCTCGGCGGGCTTGGGGGTGGTGCCGGTGCTAGAGAGAGTTCTCGCTCTGTGGGTGCTTGTTCTGGGGGTGCTGGAGTGGAGTGTTCCGGAGGTAGCCGCGGTGCAGCTGGCAGTCCCGGTGTTGGTGTCGAGCAGCAGCAGCAGTAGCAGCAGTCGCCGCCAGTGTCCGCCCTTTGCCTGCTCGGTTTCCCCTCCCTTGAACGCTTGCCTACGCCTCCTCTGCCACCTCCTCCCCTTCCTGTCCACGGTCCTGTGTTTCCTTCGCCGGACTCGTCCCCGGCTCCTTTCCCACCTCGTTCCCCTCCTGTTACTCCTCCTCTGTCTACTGACCGGACGCCTCTGTCTCACGTCTGGTCTCACCGTCCCTCTCGTGCTCCTCCAGTCTCCCCTGTTCCGCGTTTTCACCCCATGTTGCTTCGTTCCCACGCGTCTCGTCCTCTCCTCCTGCCCTCGCCTCCTCCGTCGTCGCTCGCTATTGCGCCTCCTCTTTGTGCTGCTCGTTCTCTTGTTCCTCGAGTCCTTGACTCCCTTGTTACCGACCCGTCTGTTCCTCTCTCGAGTCTTGACGCTCTTGTCGCTGCTGTCGCTGCCTTCGCCTCTACCCGCCGCCTTGACTACGCCACCGCTCTGGTCTCTGACACAGCCCATCCTCCTTCCGTCAGGGGTGCTCCTGCCCTTGGCAATGACGTCCTAGAGGACAGGCAGTACGAGCTTGCTTTCCTGTCCGAGGCTGCTCCCCATCTCTGCTCCATGCTGCTACTCCGTGAGGGTGACCCAGACGCCTTTGACATCCCGACCCCTCGCACTTACGCTGAAGTGACCTCGGGACCCTGAGCCTCTCAACGGATAGCTGCCATGGAGCAGGAGATGGCATCTTGGAGATCCACCG